TCTCTCTCTCTCTCTTTTTCTCTCTGTGCCATGCACAATCAATTCAATTGCAACTACTAAGAAAAATAAGAGCATCAGGATATAAATTAATTTATTTAGTCAAATGTTTGTGTCACATCGCAACATAATGAAGTTTTATGAACCTTAAAAATGTCAGTCAGTGAAATCACACAATAGAAGTCAAGAGGGAGAAAAACTGTGAAACATTTTCACTACGATTTTCCACCCCTCAAAAAAAAAATCGTGGTAACATTTGGCCAACAAAAAACAAAAAAAAAACGGAATCACTTATGATTGCAATTTGAAAAAGGTTAAATTGTCGCTTGAGTTCAACACGACACTATCCTTCCTCCATCCTCGACACCATAGCACAATTAAGGTGGCAGTAAAATAGAGAAAAAGGACAGAAACAAAAAAAAATGGAGAAAAAAATGTAAGGAAAACAAGTGGTCTACAGAGGGCAATGCTTTAAAAGTTTTTTTCTTTTTTTTTTTTGCAATTTAAATGGAGAAAGGAAAAAATGCACGCCCCATATATGCACTCGAAAAAATATTTTTTAAAAAATCCAGGCCTCATATAGGCCCTTGAAAAAATATTTTTTAAAAACTCCACGCCTCATATAGGTCCTTGAAAAAATATTTTTTGAAAAATCCACGTCTAATATGGGCCCTTGAAAAATATTCTTTAAAAAATCCACGCCTCATATAGACCCTGAAGAAAATATTCTTTAAAAAATCCACGCCTCATATAGACCCTGAAGAAAATATTCTTTAAAAAATCCACGCCTCATATAGACCCTGAAGAAAATATTCTTTAAAAAATCCACGCCTCATATAGACCCTGAAGAAAATATTCTTTAAAAAATCCACGCCTCATATAGACCCTGAAGAAAATATTCTTTAAAAAATCCACGCCTCATATAGACCCTGAAGAAAATATTCTTTAAAAAATCCACGCCTCATATAGACCCTGAAGAAAATATTCTTTAAAAAATCCACGCCTCATATAGACCCTGAAGAAAATATTCTTTAAAAAATCCACGCCTCATATAGACCCTGAAGAAAATATTCTTTAAAAAATCCACGCCTCATATAGACCCTGAAAAAAATATTCTTTAAAAAATCCACGCCTCATAGAGACCCTGAAGGAAATATTCTTTAAAAATCCACGCCTCATATAGGCCCTTGAAAAAATATTCTTTAAAAAATCCACACCTTATTTAGGCCCTTTGAAAAAAATATTCTTTATAAAATCCACGCCTCATATAGGCCCTTGAAAAAAATTTTCCTTAAAGACCCTGAAGGAAATATTCTTTAGGCCCTTGAAAAAAATATTCCTTAAAGACCCTGAAGGAAATATTCTTTAAAAATTCCACGCCTCATATAGGCTTTTGAAAAAATATTCTTTAAAAAATCCACGCCTCATATAGACCCTGAAGAAAATATTCTTTAAAAAATCCACGCCTGATATAGACCCTGAAGAAAATATTCTTTAAAAAATCCACGCCTCATATAGACCCTGAAGGAAATATTCTTTAAAAAATCCACGCCGGATATAGGCTCTTGAAAAAATATTCTTTAAAAAATCCACGCCGAATATAGGCTCTTGAAAAAATATTCTTTAAAAAATTCACGCCTCATATAGGCCCTTGAAAAAAATATTCTTTAAAAAATCCACGCCTCATATAGGCCCTTGAGAAAATATTCTTTAAAAAATCTAAAAAAAACACGCCTCATCTTTAAGATCAGTCTCTGCTGCATACTTTTAGGCTTAGTTTCAAAATAAATCTGTTGTTTTCTCTTTTCACTCATTCCCAGTTTCTCTCTCTCTCTTTCGTTGCAGTGTTATGAAACCTCCGGCCTTTTTGTGGGCGATTCTATGGATGGCCTAGCCACTATTCCAGCCCTGCACCATGAACCACCACCCTCCTATGATGCTGTTGTGGCAATGCACGAACAGCAACAACAACAGCTTCTGCTGCAGCAGCAACAACAACAACAATTGTTAATGCAACAATTCCAAAATAATTCTCCACCGCCCGGCTATCGATCATCACTGGATGTCAGCTGTATTTTGGCAGCCACCCGTACCGCAAGTCTAATTCCCACCGCCGGCGCTTTGGCCATGGGATCCACGGACACGAATAATTCCTTGGCAGCTACTTCGTCTTCGTTGAATGTAAGGGGGATCGGCAGTGGTTTACCGCTCAGCGATACTGCCAGCGATTGTAATGGTAATCGAGGAGACATGGCCATGACCGCCACCGCCGGCACCACATCGAGCGGGGCAACATTTTTACGTGGCAAGCAACAACGGCAACAGCGTCAATTTGCCGCAGCGAATTTGTCAAATTTCAATATGAAAAAAGTACTGCAGGCCCAGTCATGTTGTTCCCTGCAAAGGGCCGAGGTTGAGAATATGTGGAATGCCGCAGCGGCTGCCTTGGCAGCCAGATCCAATCCTATGGCCGGCACAAGTGGCGGCAGCAGCGGGGATACAAGAGCCGCTGTGGCCACAAGTTCACCCACCTTGGTAGTGGCGAAACAGCAACAACAACAGCTGCAAGTGGGTGGTGCTGGTGGTGCTGCGGCCAAAACGAATACCCCACCTCCCGAAACTTTTGGTAGCCGCTATTTGAAACAACAACAAAATTATTATCGTCGTGGTTGTCCGTTGTGCGGCAAATTCCGTTACGAATCGAATCTATCCATCTCCATGGAAAGTGATTTAGATAATGTGGGTGGGTGTGGGGGTGTGATAGCTCCCGAAGATGAAGATGACAACGAGGATGTCGAAGAAGTCAATGTGAAGGAGACCGAAGAAGAGGGTAGTACGGCTAAGATGGTGGTGAAGGGGGAGCAAAATCACGATCGCTTAAATGCCAATGAAGATCACAATGTTGAAGAAGAAGACGACGACGAGGAGGAGGAGGATGAATGTTCCTGTTTAAATTCCAAATTACGGAAATTGCGAAAACCCAAAATCCAAAATCATGACAAAATCACAAATGCGGCGAATTCACCGAATAATGAGAGCGAAAATAATAATCTCGGACAAATGGAGGGCGGTGGAGGCGGCGGCCAGGAGAATATTGAATTACTGCCAGTGGCTGATATTAATGCCAACAATGGTGGGGATGACGTCGAGTTGCCGACAACTTCTCGTCAGGCAATGGTCATCGGTGACAGCACCAACAATAACAACAACAACAATCTATTGGAAATTCTTGATGAACACAGTAATCAATTGACGACGACGACACCCAATCATCATCATCCCCAGGGAGAATCACCGGGAGGACAACGCAGCAACAGTTCGCCGGCAGCCTCCTCCTCCGCCTCTGTCTCTTCAACGAAATCCATTACCATCGATTTGGACTGCATCAATGAGAATGGCATCATCAGTTTGGATATGAGTAAAATAATCGATAAAACGGGCCTGCCCACCTATGATGCTGCCTTGAAATTGGAATCCAGTGGTTATGTTTGAATAAAAAAACACAACAACAACAATAACACAAAAGTGCTTTATAGAATAAAATAAATAGAAAAATTAAGAAGAAGAAGATTAAAAAAAAAATAAGAAAAATCTTGTACAGAAAATTTTGAAATTGAAAAAAAATTGAAAATTGAATAAAAAAATTATTGGTATTTTTTCGATAACAGGTGGATAACAGGTGGTAATGAGGCGTGGATTTTTTTAAAGATTATTTTTTTAGGGCCCATATGAGGCGTGGGTTTTTTAAAGATTATTTTTTCAAAGAATACTTTTTCAGGGCCTATATGAGGCGTGGATTTTTTAAAGAATACTTTTTCAGGGCCTATATGAGGCGTGGATTTTTTAAAGAATACTTTTTCAGGGCCTATATGAGGCGTGGATTTTTTAAAGATTATTTTTTCAGGGCCCATATGAGGCGTGGATTTTTTAAAGATTATTTTTTCAGGGGCCTATATGAGGTGTGGATTTTTTAAAGAATTATTTTTCAGGGGCCTATATGAGGCTTGGATTTTTTAAAGAATTCTTTTTTAGGGGCCAATATGAGTCTTGGATTTTTTAAAGAATTCTTTTTCAGGGGCCTATATGAGGCGTGGATTTTTTAAAGAATTCTTTTTCGGGGCCTATATGTGGCGTGGATTTTTTAAAGAATTCTTTTTCGGGGCCTATATGTGGCGTGGATTTTTTAAAGAATTCTTTTTCAGGGTCTATTAATGTGGGGTGTATATGATTTTTTTAAAGAATTCTTTTTCAGGGTCTATTAAGGTGGGGTGTATATGATTTTTTTAAAGAATTCTTTTTCAGGGTCTATTAAGGTGGGGTGTATATGATTTTTTTAAAGAATTCTTTTTCAGGGTCTATTAATGTGGGGTGTATATGATTTTTTTAAAGAATTCTTTTTCAGGGTCTATTAATATGATTTTTTTAACTCATAAAAACGTGATGTATATGTATGTATATATATATATATAAATTTGTTCTCTTTAATTTCTATGAACTAGCAGAGAGAGAGAGTGGGAGAGAAATATATACAAGAAAGTATAAACGCTTAAATGTGATAAGTTAGGGAAGTGCCCGATGTGTGAGTGTGAATGTTCGTTTGTATGTTTACATTATCGTCGATCCATAATGCATCATCATGGAGAGTTGCCACATCGTGTGCTATGTTGTTGGGACCAAAACCTATTAAAAACAAATTTGTTGGTCCATTTTGAAGACCAAAATATTTAAATAAAAACATTGATCTAAATTTTTTTTTAAAATTTCTAGATTAAAATATGGCAACTCTGTCCCCACTTATCGCAATATTTTGTTTGTTTGTTGTTTTTTTTTCGTTTTGCCAATTCGATAACAAAATTACTACGGACAATTCCCGTACATCCACATGTACGCCGCACATATAAATTCGCATTCGAAGCAATCGAAGAAATTCAGTTCTGTGCGGTAGATCGAATGACTCACAATAAAAGTAAAAAACAACAACATCACCAATTTTAATTTCTATAATGGAAAATTATTTGACAAATTCCCTCCGCATTCTCGTTCAACCCAAACAAAATTTCCATTTTCGTTACACGAGTGAATTACAAAACACCCATGGCTTTATAACGGGTCAAGTGCCGGCTACACCTACAACACCACAAAATTATTCCGCGGCCGAAACCTATCCAACCATCCATCTGAAATTACCGGCCGATGGTAATTTCGATGATAGCGGCAAAAAGCGGGAATTTTATGTTTTGTGTTCGCTACATGCCTACAATATGGATGAACGGGACCATCATTGGCTATCGGTCCATTTGCTGATGCCGAAGAGTCGGCGCAACGTCAGCTATGATTTTGTATTTGAAAAAATGTCCGATGATTGTAACGATGCGACAGCCCGTTGTTGGGAACTAAAGGATTATGTTATAGTTCGTCTGAAGTCGGAAGAATTCGAAAAATCATGGAAGGGAAAACAACAACAATATGCGGCATTGGGACTGCCCTTGACATTCGATCAATTGAAGGGTGATGGCTTGGATTTGCGGGATAAGGAATGTGTAAAGAAAAGTGCTCGTTTAAATGTAAGTGTGATGACAACAAAAATAACAAAAACAAAAGTTTTGTTTAGAAAAATATTTTGTTAAAAAAGATTTGCAAAAACAAAATTTTTCGATAACAGTCTATTTTCAAGGAAAAATATTTCTTATTTTTTCATAAGATCGATAGCAATTATTTTTTAACATCACCGATAACACACTTTTTATGTACAAAAATTGTTCGATAACAATTTGTTCTGTAGAAAAATCTTTCGATAACAAATTTTTCTATCGAACATTTGATTCGATAGCAAATTTTCTATAGACAATTCCTCCAATAACATCGTTATCTGCTGCAAATTTGTTCGATAACAACTTTCCATTAGAAAAATTTATCGACTACCACTTTTCCATAGAAACATATCGATAACAACTTTTTCTAAGAAAAAAAATCTTCGGCAACAAATATTTCTATAGGAACATTTTCGATAACAACATTTTCTAAGAAAAAACTTATCGATAACAACTTTTTCTAAGTAGAATTTCTTCGATAATAAATATTTCTTCAGGGAGATTATTCGATAAACACATTTTCTTTTTATCGATAACAACTTTTTAGGCGTAAGAATTGTCCGATAAAATTTTTCCACGAGGGAAATTTCATCGATAATAAATGTTTTCATAAAAATATCTTTCGATAAAAATATTTTCTACAGAAAATGTAATCGATACAAAAAATTTTCATAATATTTATCGAGAAACACTTATATATAAAAAATCGATAACGGAAATAGTTATCGTTAGCCCCATTTTTCACTATACAAAATTATCGATAACAACTTATTCTAAGATTAATGTTGTTATGAAAGATATTTTATCTTTGATAACAACATTTTCAATACAAAAATTCTTTCGATAACCGTATTTCCTACACGTAACTATTCGATAATAATTTTTTCTATAGAAAAATGTTCGATATGTAGATTTTTTATCGAAAATTATTATTAATAATATAATTATCTTCCGATAAAAAGTTTTTGTATGGAACATTTTTTCGATAACAAAAGGTTTATTGTAAAAATTTAAAAATGTATCGATAACCCCATTTTATTTGGAAATATTTATCGATAACAATTTTTTTTATCGAAAAATACCTTTGATAACAACAATTTCTATAAAAAATAATCATTCGATAACAATTTTTTCTATGGAAAAATACTTTCAATAACATTTTTTATAGGAACTTTTTAACTTTTAATCATTGGCAATATATATCGATAACAATTTTCATTGGAAAAAATTATCGATTACAAAAATTTCTAAGTAAAATTTATTCGATAATAGACAGTTCTATCTTTCGATACAAATGTTTTCTAAGAAAAATTATAATCGATAACAGCTTTTTCAAAGAAGTTTTTCTATAATTTTTTTTCGATAACAACTCTGTGGATCTTTTTTTCGATAACAGTTTTTTCTCTATGAAATTACTGAAAAATATGTTTCTTCGATAACAATTTAAAAAAAAATATATCAAAAAATATTTTTGATAGCAATTTTTTTAGAAAACAATATTCGATAACAACTTTCAGTATACGATTAAAAATAAATATTTCTCCTTTGATCCTCCCAACAGGTATGTCTGGGATTCACCATCTTCGAAAGTATCGACGATGGAAACACATATCGCCTCTACAAAGAGACCATTTATTCCGATAACATTTATCACGCCGATGACTTAAGAATACATCGACTCTGCAACATTGATGGCAGTGTGCGAAGCGGCGGCAAGAAGGTGACACTGCTGATCAAGTTGCAGTCTGGCTACAGCTATGAGGTGCACATGTTTCGCGATGAGCAGGGCATAGCCGTCTGGGATGTTTATATTCCGGTTGGACAACGGAATATATTTTGCAATTCCAGCATTACATTTAATTTGCCAGACTATACGGGTCCTGATTTCGATGGTGATTCGATCAATGTCTTTATCGAAGTTACTGTCAATCGCAGTACTTTTAAGAGTCAATGCGTCACATTCACCTATCTGAAAGAGGAGGACGATGGCAGCAGAAACATAGATGGTGTCCGCCGAAAAAGGCCACGTCTAGTCGATGAAGTACAGTCGGAATATAATGGCCCATCGATGATGTTGGAACCACCTGTAGAATTGATGGCATCTTCTAACGCAGGCTATTACTTACGAAGCGAATCTGCCTCATCGGTCGATGACTTACCAAGCGGATCAGGGAGTTATCATACAAGTCAAGCGCAGGTGACAGAAGTCATGCCACTTGAGCAGAACATGACACAATTGGATGGTTTATTTGGTCCGCCGTTATGTTTTTTGCAGATCCCAAATCGCTCACCATCTCCTCTCACGAATCTGAATGACAATTTTGAAAGAATGTATAATGAGGTGGTGTATGATCCAGATGAGTCCGTTAACGAACTACTGCAGTCCATTGTGCAATCTCTGGAACGGTCTGAGGAAAATGAATCTTCAACTAACGACTATCCAAATATCTCAAGGGATAAAATAAAAACAGACGAGACAATGTCGGAAATTTCAAAGCATGACAACAACAATGAGAAAAAGTCGAAAATAAGCGAAGAGAAAATAATGAAGAGACTTATTGAGGTGGTTCTAAGGAATCCTCCAGCCGATATACGTTTCCCGCTCAACAATCTGTCGAAGAAATGTAGGTACAAAAAAAACTTATCTGCAATCACTCACATTAACGAATTTCCTTTTACATTTAATTACAGTTGGCAACACTATTTTCCATGACGCCATAATGAACGAGTCCACATTACTCAACCTACGCCACCTCAGGCGAACAACATCGCACAGCGATTTAATTCTGAAGGCTCGCAACAAATTCCAACACAATCTGCTGCACTACGCCTGCTTCCATAACAAATCGGATTGTATAAAACCGCTGATCGGTATGGGTTTGGCGCTGCACGAACAGGATTGTAACGGTCGTACCCCCTTACATTTGGCCATCGATTATCATTATCGCGAATGTATATCGAAAATCCAAGAAGTACTAGAAAACCATACAGCATACGATGCCACTGTGGAAAGTTCGCTATCGCGAATGTTGACAACCTACAACCGACAGGGTTATACCGTTTTGCATCTGGCAGTATTAGAACAGATGGACGAACTATTCGAGGCAATGTTGAAATTTTGTTCAGCGCACAATATCGATACGACCCATTTTGAGGTATTGGGCAGTGGTGATTCTCTGGCCCATTTGGTGGTGAAAACCAATTCGACGTCCATTCTTCAGCTACTAAAGAAATATGTGCCGAATTATTTGAATATTAAAAATTATGCTGGTTATACGATGGCCGATATCGATGATATATCGGAACAGATGAGGGCATCATTGTATTTTTAAATTTAAGGCAATTTGTAATCATATTAGGAGTAAATGAAAATTATAAACACATCTAAAAAAAAATATCGATAACATTTTTTTCTTGATAGACATTTTTTTATTGAAAGCATTTCGATAATGACAATTTGTATACGAAAAAATGCATATTATATAGGGAAATTATTCGATAACAATTTTTTCAGAAGAAAATCTTTTCGATAACAACCTAACAAAAACATTTCGCTAACCACATTTTTATTACAAATTAATTATCAATAACATATTTTTTAAAGTAAAATCACTTCGATAATAAATATTTCTATTGAAACATCTTTTGATAACAAATTTTTCAACAGAAAAAAAGTTATCGATAACAAGTTCTTCAATTTTGTTAGTTTTGTTTTTTCAATAGATATATTTTTCGATAACCTATTTTTCTTTTGAAACATTTTTCGATAAACTTTTTTCTATACAAAAAAATGTCGATAACAATTTTTTTAACAGAAAAAATATCGATACAAATTTTGTTAACAGAAAGTAAATTATCGATAAACCTATTTCGATAGCAATTTTATTACAGAAAATTTTGTCGATAATCTATAGAAAAATTTATCGAAAACATTGTTTTTTTCAAAAGCAAAATTTATCGATAACTTTTTTCTTTAGATAACTATTTTGTTTATAAAAAAAATTATCGATAACCTTTTTTGACACAATTGTTGTTAATTTTTTTAATATACAAAAACAGTTATCGACCACAAAAAAATAATCGATAACAATTTTTTTGTATAGAAAAATTTGTTAACCCTACGGTCAATAAGCGGGTACATTTGTACCTTTAAAAACTTGGACTATCCCGAGGTTTTCTGTTTGAAATTAGTCTATACGGATCTGATCTAGATGTAGGAACTCAAAAATCCATGCTTAAATGATAATCTATCTAAAACAATCATAGTAAATTCGTTATAGCTTTCGAATGGGTTAAGCTTTTTTAGTGTTTTTTTTTTTTATTGGGATCTTATTTAGGTGTTCCTCAACTCCTCTGCAAATTTTTGTGGCCCTAGACAACATGGGGCCATCAGGCCATCGTGGAAGTCAGAAACTACCCTGGTTTTCCCTTGGTATACAGGGACAAAAACAATGATTATTGTCCGTAATTTTCCAATTATTCTTCATATGGGATTGAAACTTTTTCTATAATCGATTTAGTCTGAATTATTACAATCCTAAATTGGCGTACATAGTATTAAATAATGTTAAAAATGCGTCAATCACAATCTCTTTGGATGGGTGCAAATGTACCACGGTTATTAATCTACATATACTTTAGTGGTTATTGACCGTAGGGTTAAAAGGTATTTTTTCTATAGATAAATTTGTCAATAGGAATTTTCCCGAAGTACTTCGCTTGAATCATGTGGCAATGTCTTGAAATACGTGACATACATATATACATACCTACATAGAAATGAGGTCAAATCCCGCATCGAACAAAAAAACTACACATTTACGGGAAATTCCCTACTTCAAAACAATTCGATATATATGAAGAACTACGAACGCGCCTATAATTTCAGTATATTTTTTTATTCGAGCTAAGTAGAATACCAAACCGGTTGAAATATTAAAAAACATCAATTAATAATTTCGAAAAGGACCATGGAAAGACAACACCAAATAGTGAGTATCATTTACGATATTTCTTTCAAGCTTCAACTCCCTTTTAATAGTCATCAACAAGCATCGATTTTTTTCAAGGGGTCTACATATGTCACAATATTTTCTCAAAGGTCCTGTCTAAGGATTGATTTTTAAAGAATTTTTTCTCAAGGAACCTGAGTGAGGTGAGAATTTTTTGGAAAATATTTTCTCAAAGGTCCTGCCTAAGACCTGGATTAAACAATATTTACTCAAGGGACCTGCATATGTCGTGGATTTTTTACAAAATATTTTTTTCAGGGGGTCAGCATAAGGCATGGATTAAAGAATATTATCACAAGGCTATTGCCTGTTCACAAGTTCCTTAAAGAATTGTATTTCATGATCTACAATGTGAAGTGATTTTTAAAGAATATTTTATCAAGGTATTCAATAAGCAGAGAATAGAGGATCAAAGCCTTAGCGGTGGATATATTTCAAAATATTCATTCAAGGGTATGTAGACCCGGATGTTTTAAATAATATATTTTTCAAGGACATCTAAAAGGCATGAATGTTCTAAAGAATATATTTCAATGGGTTTAGGCTTGTTCAATATGTGGTGTCAGAGACTTGGTGGACTACCACAGTTTTAGGGAAAAGTTTAACAATGTATTCGATAAATATGGATTAAGAAAAAAAAAAATTTCAAGGTATTCAATAAAGAGTGGATTCTTTAAAGAATATACCTAGGATACCTAGAAAAATAATTATTTTAATGTCCTGTGTGTGTGTGTTTTTTTAAGAATGTCATTTCAAGGTCTTCAATAAACGAGGATTTTTAGAAGAATATTTTCTCAAGGCTTTCAATAGGTAGGGATTTTTAACGAATATTTTTGTCAATGGCCTTTGAGGGGGATTGTTTTAAAAGACGGGCTTTTTGAAGAAGATTTTGTTCAAGGACCTACATAAGGTGTAAATGTTTTAAAGAATATTTTTTCAATTTTTTCAATTTTCTTATTTCAATAGTGTCAAAATTGGATTTTTCAAATATCATTAATTCAAATATTTTGTGTCAAAGATTAGTTGGACTACCACTTTTTTAGGGAAAACTTCCACAGGGTTTTTAGTAAGCATGGACTTAGTAAATATAAAATTTCTACCAGGCTTACAAAAGATATGGATAAGTTAAAGTATATTATTCCAATCTACTTACAAAGCTTTGGATTTTTAATATATTTTTAAGGGCCTTACATAGGCTTGGACTTTTTAAAAGAAAAGACTCTCAAAATTTTAAAGAATATTAATTCAAGGGTCTACAAAAGTGGCGGACTTTTTAAAGATTATTTTTTCAAAGAACCTGCATAAGATTTAAATGTTTTAAAGAATATTTCTTTTTTTTCTAATGGACTTAAGCGTATTTCAATATTTTGTGTCAAAAATTAGTTAGATTCCTTCAGCGTAGAAATATTTTTTCCGGTAAAAATTTCTCAAGGTATTCGAGGAACGTGGATTATTTTAAATAACATTATTTAAATTTGTGTGCCAAAGATTAGTTGGACTCCCACTTTTTTTTATAAAACTTCCATAAGTTGTTCAATAAACATGACTTTAGTGAATAAAACTTCTTCAAGACCTATAAAAGATAGTTAAACAACAATTTTTTTAAATTACTCAGAAACCATTTTTCAATATATTTTAACCTTATAAAGCCCTGGACTTTTTTAAAACAATAACCTCTCAAAATTGTTTTTTTCTCTCTCTTTCAGTTAAATACCGAATTGAAAATGGCCGTTAAAAATTTCCTCTGCGATATGGTGCGTGTTGGACGTAATGCACGCCGTGAAAACCTACTACACTATGCGTGTCACCATAATCTCTATTATCTGATAATACCATTTGCACGACAGGGCTATTCATTGTGCGAGCAAAATATCGAAGGTCACACCGCCTTACATATAGCCATTATTAAAGGGCACGATCGATGTGTTATGGAATTTCTGCGACTCTTTGTCCACTGTCAAAATCTAAATGCCGAGGAAGATGCCCATAACCTAATGCGTGATATTCATCACCTCTTCTACATTTATAATTATAGAGGTTTTACTGTCCTCCACGAAGTTGTCGTTCGTTGTAATGAGGATGAACACGAGACGACAATTGCCAAGGAGATTTTCAACTGTGCCATGGAATTAAAATTGAATTTCCTAGAAATGGAAACATTGGGTACGGGTGATACTCTACTACATTTAATAGTTTATCGAAATCTTTTGGATTTGGCCCAGATGGTGTGTGAACGAATACCGGAACTATTGAGACAACCAAATTATCCGGGTATTTTGCCAATGGATGTGGATGGAATTACTCCAGAAATGGAAAGGCTATTGAAAAATGCATATTTTTGTGAAATAAAATAAATGTTTGCCGTATATGCGACTTTTTAGCGATCCCGCAAAATCTCGAAATGATAATCGTGGATGTATTGAGGAGTAGTTTTAAAGGCCTACAAGTGGTGTGGATTTATTATGGAATATTTTTCCAAAGGGTTCAGTAAGTGAGGATTTTTTAGATTTTTTTAGCCTATAAAATTCGTGGATGTATTGAAGAGTAATTTTAAAGGTTTACAAATTGTGTGGATTTATTAAAGAATGTTTTTCAAGGCCTACAAAAGGCATAGACGTTTTAAAGAATATTTTTTCAAGACCTACAAAAGGGGTGTGTATTTTTTAAAGAATATTTTTTGGAAGCCTGCGAAAGGCGTGAATTTTTAAAAGTATATATAGCATTTCCAGATTAAATGAAACCTTTTACAAATTAAATGAAACCTTTTCCAAATTAAATGAAACCTTTTCCAATTGAAATGAAACCTTTTCCAAATTAAATGAAACCTTTTACAAATGGAATGAAACCTTTTACAAATAGAATGAAACTTTTTCCAAATTAAATGAAACCTTTATTCTTATCCAAGGAAATATAATATTTGCAGTAATTTTAAACCAATATTTGAAAATTAAATCTAAGACTATTAACAAATATAGTTGTATGGCTATGTAATTAACATAAATATTCTTTAATTCGGTGTGATTTTATTTAATATCTTTACTAAATAAAACTAAATAAATAGTAATACAAACTGGAGTATTTCTTGACATTTTAATAAATAAATATTTTACAACAAGAATTGAATACCCGGTCCTAAATGCGAAATACATATTTGACTTAATAAATTGTTGATGATAAGGTAACTGCTTATCTTAATGAAGGGGTTCCCGACTTTCAGCTTGTGGGATTTTCAAAACCATGTCCATAACGTAGTTAGAACAATCTTGCCGAGTAAGCTTTTGAATACTTCGCTCGATTACATCAACAATGTTATGTTCCAT